TGGAAAAAATAAACAGAGACTTGCAAACATAATGAAGTATAATATGTTTCTCACTAAATGTGCAATGAAAACATGCCATTTCTGTTCTTTCAATTTTAAGTTAGCACAAAAGAATATTTATATTGATGCCATTTGAAGGGCTTTTGATGCAATTTAGTATTAGACATACCCAGTCAATATGTGGTATTTTGTTAGTAATTTGCACTATTCTGAAAGCTATTTGTTTACAGAGCTGGCAGAAATATAGCTGCTGGTCAAAGCTGCAAAAAATACTGTACTCATTTCAGCAAGCACATTTCTGCCCCAAAAGATACTGTTGGATTATTGAACTGATGACTATCAAATGTATGGGTTGTCAAGAGGAAAACAGGGATCTGAACTGAAAAAGTGAATGATGTCACTGTGCACATTTCATTTATAAAATGCAATGTCAAGGCAATTGTTAGAATTTGATCTCTCAGAATTTTCACCATCTTCATATAAGCATGTGCATCTTTTGGTTCTAAGAGAATTCACTTCATTTTGTAAAACTGAAGAGTATAAACAGAAAAGAGAGAGAGAGAGAGAGAGAGAGAGAGAGATGCAGGTCGGTATATTAATTCTACATAGCTGACAACATTCAGCTCTACCTCTCGTTTTCCCCCAATCCAGGTGAGGCAGTTTCTGTACTTAACTTGTGTCTGAACCTGATAATGCACTGGATAAGGGTTAATAAATTGAAACTCAAACCAGACAAGATGGAAGTGCCGGACAGGTTGGAGGGCCATTTTCTTGCCCTGAGTGGGGTTACACCCCCCCCTAAGGGACAGGGTCCACAGCCTGGAGGTGCTTCTGGACCCCAGTCTAACTCTGGAAGCCCAGGTGGACTTGATGGCCAGGGGCGTCTTCCTTTAGCTGCGGAAATTGTAGCAGCTACAACCCTACCTGGACGAGTGGAGTCTCATGGCACACACACTGGTAACATCTCGTATAGATTATTGCAATGTGCTCTACATGGGGCTGCCTTTGAAGAAGGTCCAGCAACTTCAACAACATCCAGAATTGAGCTGCATGACTGGTGAGTGGTGGAGCCGCTAGGGAACACATCAAGCCGATTCTGATTAAATTACATTGGCTACCAGTTGCTGCCCGGGCCCAATTCAAAGTGCTTGTTTTGACATATAAAGCCCTAAACGGCTTGGGCCCTGGATACCTGAAGGACCGCCTCCTTCCATATGAGCCTACTCAGCAGTTAAGATCTAGCCAGGGGGCCCTTTTGAAAGAGTCATCCCTCAAGGAGGTAAGAGGGATGGCATATAGACAAAGGGCCTTCTCGGCAGCTGCCCCCAGACTATGGAATGCTGTCCCAACTGAGAGTCATCTGGCGCCGAAACTGATGACATTTCGGCACCAGGTCAAAACCTTCCTGTTCCAGAAGGCTTGTAATAATATCAACTGTGGGTCCTGATGGCAATTTTTAGAGTATCTTATTTTAATTGTATTTTAATTGGTTTATCTTTTTATTGTATTTTAATTGTTATAAGCCACCCAGAGGCCTTTGGGTAGAGTGGGCGGCATATAAGTTAAATGAATGAATGAATGAATGAATGTATAGTTGGAAGCAACATACAGCAACTTTTTCAAGGTTAATGATATATCTAAGAAGTGGTTTTACCAGTTCTACACCCACAAGTGAATTTCCATAGCTGAGCAAGGATTCAAACCCAGGCCTTCTGAGTCTTAGTCCATCACTTTATTCACTCCACTACACTGGGTTTGCCAGAAGGGTATTTATTAGGTGCCAAAATAATTGTACAGGGCTTCATAGTATAGAACTTAACACTGTGGTGGTTGAGTTTTGTTGATCTGCCTCAGACAAGAAGTTGACTTGGGCTTCATGTAGAAATTCCTTGCTCTCTTGGAACCTGACCTTACATCCCCAATTTGTCTGTGATAGCTTGATAGAACAATGGGCAGAAAGAGTCCCTTTGTCTTGGCCCCATTACTTATTAATGTGATACCATCTGATCAGTGATACTTTGGTAGTGTACATATAGTATAGAGGTCCAGAACATGCTAAAAGGTAAGAGGTTCCCCCTTGTAATGGAACATCACAGTTGTAAAAACTGTTGTAATACTCTGAGGTGATAGATCCCCCCCCCCGGTGAAATAATGGTCAAAAGGATTAAAGCATTTTTTAAAAATGAGATCATATAGTAAAATAGGATTTTATTTTAATTTTATTTTGATTGGAGGAGCCCAGTACTGAAAAGATTCTGGAACCCAAGGGAAATAATTATTAAATGGAATGGAATGTTGGTGTCAGTTTCAGGTTGCTGCAGTAAAGGAGGAAAGAAGCTTATGGGATTTTCTCCTGCATGTTTTTCTTCACAAATGAAAAAAAACATGCATGAAGAACAAAATAGTTATACATTGGGGTAAATGTAGGAGGCCGCTTGTCACTAGGCAGCAAGAATCAAAGAAATGGATTGAAATGGTGGATGGAAATTGCTTCCCCAGTGAAATAATCAGGTATGTGGTTGTTGCTGCTTTTCTGATATCACTGGGAAAAGTTGAAGGCATCAGGAAAAAAAAATCTGGATTGATTCAATAAATGGAGCCATGGCTTTGAATTGCAAGAAGTGAGCAGAGCTGTTAATGACAGGACCTTTTGAAATCACTCGTATATAAGGTCACCTTAAGTTGGGGCTAACGTGACAGCATATGGCAGAGCATATGAGGGGGTGGGTTTAAGGAGAAAGACAAGGTAAAAATATTTTAAATAAACAAACATAAGAAATTTACAGAAATCTTTACAATGTGTTCATGGGGGAGACCCATGACTTGGACATTTGATTATCAAAGGTAACACTCTCATTTATAAATATCTTGTAGGAATAATGTACTTTCTGATATACTACTCTGAAAGGATATGGGTCATTACCAGTAATAACAGGATAACCTTACTTTGATTCTGTTTTCACAGAAAATCAGTGCATGTTTTGAATGTCGTGTGCTCATTGCCATCAAAACTCTTCTAGCTTATGACTGATACTGAACTCACCATAGAGAAATGTGGACATGTGCTTTACTCAGGAGAGATAAAGCTGATGCTGCCAGTAGATTTTTCAGATCATGCATAATTCAGTGGACTCTAATAATAACATTCATATTACTTATAAGGAGACATTTCTTTTCATCAGGCATATGCTCCCAGTCATTACGTGTTCAAGTCAAGCCCTGAATATTTCAATACATTTTTTGCAGCCATTCTCAACCATTTTTTTGAGTGGCCACTACCATAAACACAACATGAAAGAAATACAGGGTACATTTTTTTGCAGCCATTCTCAACCATTTTTTGTGTGGCCACAACCATAAACACAATATGAAAGAAATACAGGCTGAATTAGGATTGTGTAAATTACAGTATATAACAAACCTTTAAAGTGGTGTGTGAATGGTTGTTTCCAATTTGTGGCCTCCTTCAAATATGGCGGGGTCCCCAAGGGGGACATACGACCCCTGTTGAGAATGGCTGGTTTAAAGCAGTAGTTCCCAACCTTGGACTGCAATTCCAGAAATGTTCTCCACCAGCTGTGCTGGTTGGGGTTTCTGGGAATTGCAGTTCAAGAACACTTGAGTTAACCATGGTTGGGAGTCACTGATTTGAAGTGGTATCAACTGCTTCCTCAAACTACTGAAGATGTTTTCTCCACATAAAATATCAATCCCAGGATAGAGGATGAGTGACTCCCTGGTTTAAGTAAAATAATGGACTAAACGGATTTGCTTCTGCTCACAAACAGAATATATCTCTATTCTTGGACATTTTATGAGTAGAAGCTTGCAGCTTCTTTGTTGGGGAATCTGCCTACAGGATTGTTCTCTTTTGCCAGTTTTGTAGAGTTTTTCAGATTCAGCTTCCAAATATGTGATTATTATCAAGGTGTGCATGTTGTGAATGTCTGAATGGATGTAATGGAGGATTGCTGAGATTCAGCATTCAAAATACGTTGTCACATGGAATTTGGTCCATAGCTCCTTTTTAAAAACAAAACAAAACAGTACTACTGTGATACAACTCAAATTCTTGATTAACAGTACATTCGAGCTGAATGATACAAAGCAAAATATAAGATGGAAAGGGGGAAAAACAAACAAACCCCAAACCAGAGAACTTGAAACTTGAATTCCTAAGATTCTAATTCTGATGGCTAGACTATCTACAGTGGCTGTTCTAATGGTGTAGAATCAGAAAGTTGGGCCTTAATTTATTCATTAATTCATTATTATATGGTCACAGACCAAGCTATAAATTCAATGAATAGTACCAGCTAAAATCTATTGTTGTGTAAAATGCATTGTTTTAATGGATCTGCTCAAGTTGGGGCTAGCAACTGGATGTGGCCTTGGTATTCCCAGTATTTCCAAGTAATATATTAACTGATAGTTTAGCATAGGAAGTTAGAGTAGGCCCATTTGAACTGATGGAGATATTGACTCACTAATCCCCACTGATTCAATGGGCTGGCTCTAGTGTGATTTACTACATTAAGTAACCTATTTTTGGACAATATATATTTTATTTTGTGATATTTAATATAAAGTTGCACTGGAATAAGAGTTCATGGGAATTTGTCAGCAATCTTTTGGGTATCTGTTTTGGTTAGGTGTAATCTACTTTCCTCAAACTAAATTCAGCCATGTATTTTCTGTGTAATGGTGCAAAACAAAAATAAACCCAAAACATTGAGAATCGTGACTTCTTAAAACATGGCTCCTGAAAACCTCCAGAACACTGCAGGAGATAGTACATGGAGATGTATGGGAAAGAACAGTTAACAAAGGCCTTTCATCTCTTCTGTTAGTGGGAGTCTCTACTGGGTAGAGAGTGGTTCCATTCACAGAATAGCATTTTAGGATCCAAGCCATAGTTATCAGTCCACTCTCTGTATATATTTGTTAGTACTAAAATTTAAAAATGTAGTTGTTAAATCTGCTTCTTGTTTGATTTGTAGCTTGCACGTGTAGTGGACATGCAAATATTTGCCACATGCAAACAGGAAAATGCTTCTGTACAACTAAAGGGATCAAAGGAGACCAGTGTCAACTGTAAGTACAAACAAACCCAGCCTTCAGTATTTTAAAAGTAAATTGTAGTATAAATAATCCAGTAAACTGAGATTTTGGTGGAAAGACTCCTGGGTAGATTTAACTAATAATTTAGCCACTTCTGTGTCCATTTGTATGAAGGATTTAGTTCAAGACATACAGATCTAGTAAACTGCCATCTAGAAATGTTGACAGTAAACTTCATCCTTTCCTTTTCTTTGTCATTAGAATATACAATTTATTGTCAGAAATACCCTGTGTAAAACACTTTCGCTCCATAAGATGCACCTCTCCATAAGACGCACCAAATTTTTAGGAGAAGAAAACAGGAAAAAATAATCTGTTTTCTTCTCCTAAAAATTGGTGAGACTTATGGAGAGGTCCATTTTATGGAACACACCCTAGGACCCTTTGGAGGCTCACCCTGCCTCCCCGGGCATCAGAGGGGGTGAAATCGCCCCCTTCTGGGACTCTTCTGAAGCTTCCCAAGCCTCAAAAGTGTCCCAGAAGGTGGCGATTTCGCCAGTGCTGGATCCGTGGGGGTGGGGGGAGTGTGGCAAGGGTCCTGGAAGGCTCCCCCAGACCCTTGCAATGCTCCTCCACCCCCCACCCCCACGGGGCCAGGGGGGGTGAAATCGCCAGCTTCCAGATGGGGGGAGCATGGCAAGGGTCCTGGAAGGCCCCCCCAGACCCTTGCCATGCTCCTCCACCCCCCACCCCCACGGGGCCAGGGGGGGTGAAATCGCCAGCTTCCAGATGGGGGGAGCATGGCAAGGGTCCTGGAAGGCCCCCCCAGACCCTTGCCATGCTCCTCCACCCCCCACCCCCACGGGGCCAGGGGGGGTGAAATCGCCAGCTTCCAGATGGGGGGAGCATGGCAAGGGTCCTGGAAGGCCCCCCCAGACCCTTGCCATGCTCCTCCACCCCCCACCCCCACGGGGCCAGGGGGGGTGAAATCGCCAGCTTCTGGGAGTTTTTTGAGGCTTGGGAAGCTTCAAAAGACTCCCAGAAACTGGTGATTTCACCCCCCCCGGCCCCGTGGGGGGGGAGGATCGCAAGGGGCTGAGTGAGCCTTCCAGGACCCTTGCCATGCTCCTCCCACCTGGAACCTGGCGATTTCACCCATGCTGGCCCCACGGGGCCAGGGGGGGTGAAATCGCCAGCTTCTGGGAGTTTTTTGAGGCTTGGGAAGCTTCAAAAGACTCCCAGAAACTGGTGATTTCACCCCCCCCGGCCCCGTGGGGGGGGAGGATCGCAAGGGGCTGAGTGAGCCTTCCAGGACCCTTGCCATGCTCCTCCCACCTGGAACCTGGCGATTTCACCCATGCTGGCCCCGTGGGGGGTTGCAGGTGTGGGAGGAGCGTCGCAAGGGCCTGAGTGAGCCTTCCAGGACCCTTGCCATGCTCCCCCCATCTGGAAGCTGGCGATTTCACCCATGCTGGGTCCTGGTCCATGGGGCCAGCGGGGACGAAATTACTGCCTTCGCTTCATAAGACGCACGGACTTTCCCACCCACATTTTGGGTGAAAAAAAGTGTGTCATATGGAGCAAAAAATACGGTATGTTTTTGAAAATCTGAAAACATTTTCAGTCAGGTAACTCTCCAGGACTTTCCTGGTATAATTAGATATTGAAATTAATTGACTGTACTCTTCTGGTATAACTAGCACTGCTGAATCATGGGAGTTTTTATAGTGTAGAACTGGAAATAAACTCAAATACACAACACCTCAGAAGTCTTAAACAACCCTTTTTTGCTTTCTACTCCACATAAATCTCTGTATTGCAATTGTCATTATAGTTTTGAGCAAATATGTGTATTCTGCAGCCTTAATTGGATTAAACCAAGGCAGTCACTACAGTGAGCCATATCTAATGAGTTGATATTCCAACTGAGAATATTCATATATCTCTGTATTTTCAAGGGTAGATCATACATCAAACTGATGTTCAAAATTTTGAGGAACATATGCCAGTGCTGTTGATTTTTTGGAGGAAGGGGGCTAAATATTTTACACTACTTTCTGCTCTTCTACCATTTAAACTAAGAACTATATACAGTACATACTGAGATACTGGTAAACTGTAACTGAGGTTATAAATTGTTTTTCCACTTGTTGGGCAGACTGTAGTGCAATCTCAGCAACGAGCCTATAAATCTGTGATTACTAAAGTGAGGATTTCTATGAAAATTTCAGACTTTAGCTGCTCACTGTGTAAGTTAGATTTATATTCCTGTCAAGAATCCTATTGATTATAAAGGCATAGCTGCAGAGCTGAAAGTTGCTCCTCCCATCCTTCCCTGTCTACCAGTTTATGATGTGCAATGAAAACGATGCCCTGAGAGAAAGGGCTTTTTAGAAATCAGTGTGACTGTATAAAATGCATGATTTTAAAGTGGAAGAAGCTATAGAAGTCTAATGAGAGAGAAAAACATCCTTCTCCTTTTCAGGGTAGCCATACTTCCAATTCAGAAATTGCTGATATTCTTTTTTGATTCATATATAGTGTATGTGAATCTAAATAAGAGCTAAAGCTTGAGAATAATGGTAAACAATGTCTTATTATTGTACAGTTTCTAACAGATCTGTTAGTGGGAGCCTCTACTGGGTAGAGAGTGGTTCCATTCACAGAACACTCTAATTTCTGCAGAACATTATGATTAGCACACAATATCTTTTGACATAGATAGAAAATTTGCATTGGGAGAACTTTGACCAGTAGCCTGGATGTGGGTGTTTTCTATTGGCCCACAAGATGTTGATCAGTTATTGGTGACAAGAAGTTATTTAAAAGCATTAAGCGGAACTGAGTCATGGGCCTTCTCGGCGGTGGCTCCTCGCCTGTGGAATAATTTACCTCCTGGTATTCGCGGAGCTCCCTCGCTGGGCACTTTTAAGAATCTACTAAAGACCTGGATGTTTCGGCAGGCCTTCTCACCAGATTACTTTTGATTTTCTTATCTTTTATTGTCTTTTTACTTTTACCTGTTTTGTAATTTGTTGTTTTATTTTTATAGTATTTTATCTCTGTTGTAAGCCGCCTAGAGTAGTCCTTCGCGACTAGATAGGCGGGATATAAATAAAATAAATAAATAAATAATGGTTTTCAGGCAGGGAAGCTGTTGCATGGAAAGAAATTGTGATTTGCAGCTAGGAAAGCTGTTATATTGTGGCTTGCACTTTAGTAGATCACTAAAAGTAATCTCTGTTCTGAATGTTTGGTGGGTAAATGCCACCAGAAAGTAAATGTTGTAGGTAGTCTCACCCATTTTTGCCTTTTTTTCTTTGTGTTTGTTTTTTGTGTGTGTTTGGTTTTCTCTGCTATTATCACCAGTTTGACATTTGCTCCTGTTTGCAAGGTGCTTTTGCAGCAGAACTGCGGCCCCAGTTGTCATTTGTCAATAGTCCATCAAACTGCGGTTTCAGATACCTTTAAAAAAACAAACAAAACACACACACACAAAAAAAAAAACACACAGGTAGTCCATCAAACTGCGGTTTCAGATAACTTTAAAAAAACAAACAAACAAAACACACACACACAAAAAAAAAAACACACACACAACAAATTGCAGTTCCCAAAGAAACTCAGTTTATGGAAAGGATGATGTGTTTGCGACTTCTCATTTGATTTCAATTCTCCTTCATGTGGTGCAGGTCCCAAAGAAACTCATTTGATTTCAATTCTCCTTCATGTGGTAATGAAAACAATTTGAAAAAAAGAACCATACGTTTGGTGTCATCAAAAAAAGCACCTTCCCAGAGTTTCCTGAGGAGCATTGTGTTCCTAGGAAGGCACTCCTTTTGACTGTTTCTAGATCATATTGCCTTTGTGTATTTCACCATCAAACAGGCAAAGATACTTCTTTTCAGGCAGGTTATTAATACGTGAACTGTTGCTCGGAAAGTGATTTAAAGGGACTTGTTTTTTTATACTTTTAAATGTATTTTAAAATTGCTTTAAAGAGGTTGTGTTTAATATCTTTTAATAGTTAATGTAAGTAATTGGAATAGTGTAATTTATTGGCTGATATTCTGTTGTGTAATTCTGCTAGCACAACAAGGATGATATCATTATCAGTGGTAACCTGCTACTGATTAAAGTCTGTCTTTGCCAATTTTGGGATGTATGTGACTTCAGTGATTTGCCTTTAATCAGTAGTGATGATACCATTTATTTATTTGATTTATACCCCGCCCATCTAGTCTAAAAGACCACCATTGCTCTTGTGTATGGGAAGTTGCACAACAGGATTTCAGCCACGATATTGTGTTTTTAAATACTTTGTAAGCCTTGGATCCCTCTACAGGGAGAAAGGCATGGTAAATAAATACATAAATACAGTGGTGCCCCACTTGACGACAATAATCCGTTCCGTTAAAATAGCTGTAAAGCAAAATCGTCATCTAGCGAAAGTAAAAAACCCATTGGAATGCATTAAAAACTGGTTAATGCGTTCCAATGAGTGAAATACCTCATTGTCCAGTGGAGATCCTCCATAGGGGAAGCCACTTTCGATCGCTGTCTTCCTGAAATAGATCCGGGAAACAGCGGGAGGCCATTTTGAAAACCCGATGATCAGTTGTAAAGATCGTCGTCAAGCAAAAAAACAGTTCCCGAACCAGGGAACTATTCAATGTAAAGCGAAAATCGCCCATAGAAACGTTGTTTAGCGATCGCAAAAATGTCATCGTAAAGCGATTTCTTCATCTAATGGGGTCGTCGTCAAGCGAGGCACCACAGTATGTAAATCCAAATCCCATGAGGAAGAAATAGGATTACAGTTTGAGACTAATAAACAAATTGTCAAAGAATTCCAAATCCCATGAGGAAGGAATAGGATTACAGCTTGAGACTAATAAACAAATTGTCAAAGAATACCTTATTACTTTGACTGAGTTCAAATCCCTGGGGCTGAATAAACTGCATCCAAAGATGTTCAAATTCCTGGGGCTGAATAAACTGCATCCAAAGATACTGAAGGAACTGGCTGAAGA